TGTGTGTGTGCGTGCGCGCGCGCCCCTAATTGATTGGTGTGTCTGTATATGTGAAATTGTACACCATGCCCTCCTGTCTAACAGCGCAATATTGAGATCCTGAGCGTTGGCCTGAGCCCACAGGGCAACACCAGAGGCGGCAGTGATGCAGCGTAGATGCAGAGCAGCCCGGTGCGGTGTGGATGCTGGGAGACTGCACCAGGAACCACTGAAAGTGGTGAGGGGAAGAGGCCACGTTTACCCCATGCTGAGCAGCAGCTTCTGTCCCACACCGCTGCTGCTGAGCCTGGACGGGCAAGCCCAGAGCAGGTGCAGTATCAGTCTTTCAGGGAAGCCACACAGGAAAGTCAATAACGTGCCACTCTGGGTCCATGTGCTGCCGGCCAGGCAGGCACTCCATATGCAGCTTTGCCCAACACCTCCCTGCTCCCTTAGCCCCCAGCCAGCTTCCCACAGGAGTGCCTGCCTGGCCGGCAGCGCATGCACCTGGAGCAGCACATTGCTGGCCCTTCAGAGAGGCTGCATAGGAAAGCGCAGAGCTCGCTCAGGGCAATACCACGCTGCTGTGGGTCTACATGCTGCCGGCTGGATGGGCACTCCTGTGGGAAGCAGCAACTGAGAGGCCAAGGTCCTGGCCTACATGGATGATCTGAACATCCTGTGCTGAAACGGGATCGGTCGAGAGAGCCCTGGTGCGCATGCAAGTGTACGAGGTGGCGGTGGGGACCAAGCTCAATGTGAGCAAGAGGAGCTGCCTGGCTGTCGGTGAGGTCAGGGACCTGCAGTCCCTGGGCGTCTCTGCCCCCTGCGAGGGGGTCAAGATCCTGGGGATAGATTTTGACCCAGAGCTGAGCAGCGGGACAACATGGGAGAAGACAGAGGCCAAGGTAAAACAGAAATGGGCTGTGGCACTTGCATTCCCTCTCCATGGGAAGCGCATGTTGCGCTCGTGAAGGCAGTGTTGTTACCGGTGCTTCTGTACACCGCACTGGTCTTCCCCCCTTCCCAGCATGTCACCCACAGGATCCAGAGGGCTGTGTGCATTTTCTTCTGCAGCTCCACATGGGAAAAGGTTGCCTGGAAGACCCTGTACAAAGACAAGAGGGCCGGGGGCAGGGGCATGCCAGACATCCTCTTGTTCCTATGGGCCAAGTATGCGAGCATGATCTGCAAGCTTGCAATGGATGCAGAAGCCAAAACTGCTTGCCTCATGAGGTATTTTGCAGGGAACATCCTAAGACACTGGGGGGGGATTCACCCCAGACAACCATAGACCATGGTTCATGGGCGCACCATGGTTCTACGAGACCCTGAACCAGTGCCGCGGTGTATATGGCCGGCAGAACGCGGACCCAGCAACCATGAGAAGCCACAGAAAGATCCAGGAGATGGTGAGACTAAGGGACATCACATCACCTGTGGACCTGCTCCTGGGCGGCATGTGCCAGGCCGCGTGGGAGCTCATCCACCACAAGGAGCTGCACAAAGATCACAAGGACCTGAAATGGCTCATAGCCCACTGAGCTCTACTAGTGAGGGCCCAGAGACATAAGAGAGGGGCAGTTGGGGAGACCCAGCTGCCCATGGCTCAACTGCCACAGGGCTACCAAGACAATTGAGCACCTCCTCTGGACCTGCACCTGGGCCAAGGAGGTATGGAAAAGGGTGAAACAGCTTTGCGAAGCAGTGACTGGCGTCACTGGCTAACCAATGAAGCAGTGCTGTACAGACACCTCGCCAAGCATCAGGGGAGCCCATCACCCCGTTTCAACCAATTTGCGTCCTGAGTCAGGAGCACCTTGTGGAAAGCCAGGAACCTCCTGTTGTACAGACAAATGGACATAGCGGTAATGGGCTGCGTGAAAATGGTGCTGAGCGAACTCCAGACCTACTACCAGAAATCAGTAGCAGAGGATAGAGAAGACATGGCCAATGTCACCTGGCACAGAGACATGTGGCACAAGATCATCCAACCCCCCCCCCGAGTGAAGAGGGGGCTGAAGGCAGCAAAGAAGAGGAAGGGACAAGAGAAACAGAGGGCAGCAACAGCAGCAGCGGGTCCTCCAGCAGGAGCTGGAGCGACAATGATGGAGAGGGCACTTGAACTGAGTATGTGACCCCACAAGCGGGGCAGGGATGGAAAGGAAGTGTGGTCGGGTCTGAGGGACCAGGATGAATTTAATTGTTTAGCGTGTGTTGTGCGCATTGCAGATATTGTAACGGCTTCGGCTGGCCAGCAGGCCTTTGTACGGATGCGCAGGTCCACAGGTGCAGTTTTTGTAACAGGAAAGGTTTTTCCTTTTGTGCTGTGATATGTAGAGGGTACACACACACACACACACACACACACACACACACACACACACACATAAAAA